TAGAAATAACTTGCACATATTCAAAATTCTTTTTAACTGTTCTATTGCATTGGATACCATTCTTGCTGTGCACTCTGTCTCTAACTGTACTTTAGAACATAGAAAAATAATTTCAAACCTGTTGGTGAAGTCTTTAAATTCTTCTAGATTATTGGAAATAAATATCACAGTGTTCTTAAAATCTATAAAATCTGCTTTGTTTTCAGTCTAACAAATAACAACTTTATTACTACAATAACTTTCTTCACTGGTTTAGTAAATATACAACTGCTGTACTTGTCATGCTGGATTCAGTTCACTTTTTTAACACAGGCTTCATTTATCCCATAGGAAAGTCTTTTTTTCAGAATTATTGCATTGTGTTGAAAAATGCTTGCGGACAATTCTCTTTGTTCAATGACAGCTTTCACAATGAAGATGAGATAGAAACACTTGTTTTTAACACATAAAACCCTCCTTAATTAAAATAGAACATCTTTTGCTTATTTATTGACAGACCGCCTTTCCATCCATGATACCAGTGGTAGCAAATTATGCTCCTTAATATTGATTTGCATTGTTACTGTACATCCCAAAATCCATGGTTAGGTTACTTCTATATTTTTTAAGTGGGGGAATTTTCAAAGCTTAAGGCAAGCTGCTCATTGGAAGAGAGAGCTAGCGGTTGACTGTGACTGAAGTGTTAGTGACCCCTGATCCACACCGTTGAGCTGTTTTTATGTATTTTGATTCATTTGATTATTTATGAGACAGATGTCAGTTCGAATCTAGACATGCCCTTCTAAACAATGAAGGATTCAAGGAACATTATTGGTAAATGGTCTGAGATTTCTCTTGCATTGTTTCCTTCAAGGGTTAAGTAAATATTTAATTAAAAACATTAAAAACAATAACAGATTGGTGAATATATTGTACACTGAACATAATGTTTTTGAATGTTAAATTTAATTGAACTGTGTGTCTGCATACTTTCAATCTGACAACACTGGATCTTTTCTAGCCCCTGGGGAATTTCATATCATATAGCTGATTCTGTCACTCAAGTGACAGAGAACATAAAATAAAGAGTATTACTTAAAATGTTTGTTTTTGAAGCAGTACAGTAGTACAGTGGAACGTGTCAAGGAAATGTTTTCAATAAAGGTAGCTGTCATTCTCATTTTTAAAGGTCTGTAGGGTTATGATTTCAGTATCTGAAAACTTGCTTTGCATTAAACATACATTGCCCATCCTGGATTTGTTATTCAAATCAAAAGTGGTTTGGAATCTAGCTTTGAAATAAGTTCTAATACATACAGTTCATGAAGCCTAGTTTTGCAATTAAAATAATAGAATATGGCAAACTTGAAAAGGATAGCCTCAAAACCTTCAATGCATAACACGCTCCTTCTCTGTATTGTGCTTGATGGAGTTAAAGGATGACACAGGAACTGAATCATTTTATTCACTGGCACGTCGGAATAGAAAAGATAGAACTTACATCATAGAAATTCTCCATTCAAATCCACCTGCTGTCATTGCTTATGCAGAAACATTAAACATAAATCAATGTACAAATGTACATTAAAGATAAACCACAAATTATATTATATATTCAGTTAAAATATGTAACTCACATACTGTACATACTGCATCAAGTTCTCTAATTCACTATGTACTTTTAAAGTAAGACCCCCACTTATATTTCACATCAATACGGAATAAACAACGCTTGCCTATAGTGAAAAATGAAATAATATCAGAGAAATTGCATTATCATCATCATAAATAATAATTAAGATGCAGAAATGACTTTCCTCTATGAGGTCTTCAAGAGAGATATCAAAATGCAAAACCACCATTCATACTACAGTCAGTTATTCTCTGTACCCAGAGCACAGTATCCTCAGCTTTTATCCAATTCAAATTCATGAACCACATGCATGCCTCACACTCATGTAACCGGATTGCACATATTTTGAGAATAAAATACTCAATGCATAATTCCATTACTTTAAATACTTTTATAATATATAGCTTCACATGCATTATTTAACATGTATTATTTGTTATTTAAATAATATTGTTAAAAAAGGGGATGATAAAATTGTAAAGTAAGAAATTATCAAATAAATGCAAACATACGGTCCTGACACCAGTTTGCAAACAAATTACAAAGATTTATGATATGTTTACCCACTAAAATCGGGGAATACTACTGTAGGCATATCAAAGCACAAGACTTCTTTATTCTCCAGCACAGTTATGGGGTAATGACCGGATGGCTTAATAACATTTTTTATTATTTTTAATTACCCCGGCGTCCTGGCCAAATTTCCTATTGGCCCTTACCAGTCGTGGCCTCCTAATAATCCACATCTATGAATTGGCTTCATTACTCTGCTCTCCTCCCCACTAATAGCTGATGTGTGGTGAGCATTCTGGCACACTATGGCTTCCGTCGCATCATCCAGGTGGATGCTGCACATTGGTGGTAGAGGGGAGTCCCCATTACCTGTAAAGAACTTTGAGTGGAATGTCCAGAAAAGCGCTATATAAGTGTAAGCAATTATTATTATTATTATTATTATTATTATTATTATTATTATTATCACAGAATGTTTCACATTTATTATTTACAGACATTTACAGGTCCTGCCATCTACAGAAATAGAACATTTCTGTGATAAACACCTTAAATAGCAGGGGGAACCTGCTTCATATTAAGCAAAATTATGCAGTTCAAGACTAAATCTCTAATTAAACTGATGTTAACAAATTAATGGGAACCAATTTTTCTATTTTAAACAATGCATTATTAACCAAAATGAGATTCTAGCCTGTGAATTTCAAAATACAGGAAACGAGAATTCCCTCTAATGAACAAAATAGCTAAAGAGTATATAAAGAGTACTGTTATCCTATTGTGTTCGGATTACCTAGACATAATCTGCAGTACAGTAGGTGTTGTTATTATTGCTTTCCTGCAGCGTCTCTCGGCCTCAGGTTACCCTGGGAAACTGGGGCATTCTCATGAGGATTCACTGTTTTCCAGGGCTTGCCACTCAGACCTTTCATCCGATCCATTCTAAATATTATTATCCCAATTATTCAATTCCCCCTTTTCCTTTATAATGCCAAGGCACCTCTGTTGCGGGGCTTCATCATTATTCCAGTTTTCCTCTTACCTCCTCCCTTCTGTTCCTTCAGGCTGATCTTTCAATGACTTTCTCGGACTGCTCCTCTGCCTTGGTACTTGGACCATACTCAGTTGGCTCCCACATTCCATTGATTGCCTGATCTCATTTATATTGATCTCATTTATATTGATTGCCTGATCTGCTGTCCCGTAATGAGGATTCCTCAGCAATTGCCCTCACTGAAAAAACCTAACACGGATTGTGGCCCCTTTCTCCAAATGCCCTCATCGCTCCTGCCTTCTCAGCTTCGCTTTGGGGCAGCCTTTTTCTTCCAGCACTTCAGGGCTCTTTTTTTCTCTATCACTTTTCTTTTTGGGCTGCCTTGGTCACTTTTTCTATTCCCTTCCTAGCTACCAACCAGCGCCCCAGTGAAGTCTTCACCTCTCTTTCCTAGGGAGCCAGGCATTAGGAATCTGCTCCAAAACCGAATAAGCGACACCTCTGATAGTCTCAGTCTCTGAGGATTCGTTTGTTCCCGGGCTCTGACTAGAAGCCTCCCCAGTGGCTGTACTGAGATGGGGCTCTGGAAGATGAGAGGGGACTACAGGACGGGACACTTTTGTCCCCTGTTCCTAGCGGATGTCTCCCCTGATTGGTTCAAAGGGCACCTGGGTATCCGATGCTGATTGCACCTGAGAGCTTCGGTCGGAGTAATGATCCTGGGAGACTAGGCTGATAGCGTACACCTAGCCTGGTCTCAAGGAGACCCCCTATTAGCACTTCACTTTCCCTCCATCCTGGAGTGCTCGATTCCCAACCAATCTGGTCTCTTTGAGTGTTTCCACCACTCTTCGGTTTCTTGCACTTGGGTCAAGTCTAATCACCACTCCTGCGGCTGCAGTTAGCTGAGTTGTAACATGTTTCTGGTCTGTTTAAAAGAGGTAAACTCTCCCATGAGTCAATATTCTCTTTCTATGATGATGATTCCTCTCTTTCTCTCTTTTACTGTCTTGCTGCATTCGATCCTCTTTTTAGGCCCAGTTCCTATGTATGTGCCATCCCCATGAAGGTTGGTTTAATGGATTTATTAAAAATGCTGTTTTTTGTAAGTTAAAACATAAAGGGCTGTTATAATTAGCATATGAGTGACCTAAGAATTAAGAGCATGTGCAACTTTTATAGCTACAGTATACTGTAAATCTAGTCCTCTATATGTGCCATTCAAGGAAACTGTGTATTAGCTAGGAAATGTCAAGGATTGTCTGTGTAAATTGACAAAATTGTAGTGTATATGGTGTCAGACATTAGAGGTGACTCCTTTCTGGGTAACCCTCTCACATTTGTCTCTAGGTGGGAATGGAAAATTGCAGTTTTTACACCATCATACCTCACATATCTGTTTTTTGCTTCTGTTTTTATTTGCTTTCTTCATAGTAATTGTACAATACTGGTCTATTTTTATAGTAATAGCAAGTTATATTTGCAGATCATACCTCTTTTTTTGTAGCTCAGTAACAACCACATCTTTAGGTGTTTATTTAGATATTTTAGTTGTTTCTTAAATCACTCCAGTTCATGATAGACCACTGCTCTAAAACTTAGTGGACATCTGGCAGTGAGAAATACATCCAAGGAGGGTATAACAACATGTGATACATTAAAAAAATAATTTATTTTTATATAACAGTTAAATAAAAATACTTGTATTATTGTCTGCGCATATTTGTATTAGAAGGAATAAAGTAAACAAAAATGTATTATGCTTATAATTTTGTTTAGCATCCACCAAAACATAGGTTACTAAACTTGTTTTTATTGTTCCTTGTCATACTGGAATCTATAACAAATAAGTAGTACTAGTTTTTCTGTTTTCTTTTCCAGTTACACCCTCCGAGTAGTTGGCAATGGCATTAAAGCTCAGATGGCCAACCCAGAAGTAAAAGTGAAAGGAACCGATCCTTTAATAAACCAGATCATTGATAAACTGAAACACATCAATCAGGTGAGTGTCACGAACACGGACTGAAATCCGTGTCAGATCTTGTAGAAGACCCTATGCGATGCGGTAAGAGCTAGAGAAAACAGGAGGCGTGGTAAAAGGGAACACACAGGGGTTTATAGTGCACAAAATAATAGTGACAATCCGTGAGACTGTGTACGGGGAAGACAAACCGGCATCCAAATCCAAACGGGTTCAAGGGCAGGTCAAAGCACAGTCCGAGAGTCCATCAACAAGGAATCCATTCTGGGACGCGACAAAGTTAAAATTCCCGGGAGGGGGGAGTACACGGACAAACAACACATGGAGGTCCAAGGGATCCTCCAGACCCTGGGCTCAGGAAGTGGGAGGTGTCGGGGATGAGGCCTATGCCCTCAGAAGATGGTCATAGGGTTTCCTCCTGCTAGGCGGGCCTCGCGACATCTTACCCTAATGATAAGCCCCGAGGACGGGAGGAGCTGGTCTTAAGTAATAACGCTAAAAGGGTACACTTGGAGAGCTTAATCACATGGACAATAATGGGAGCAGTGGAGTGCCCTCTAGGGAGGGATGTCGGGCGTGACAGTGAGCCATTTTATCCACAATATATTAATGCAAGAGCAATTCTTTTGACAATGGGAGATACTGTAAGTAAGGGATAAAATAAGGATGCTCCCTTGTAGTTTGCTTTAAATAGTTTACAGTATATAACCTTATACTGTATAATTCCTCAATCTACTAATCAGACAATGCCTGTTTAAACATCACATTTTCAATTATTACAATGTTGCCATTAGTTTAGTTTTAAAAAAATATGATTTTTCAGAACTCTTAATGTAAATGTTTTGCGTTTTGAACATAACAGCTATCTATGGAAGCTTGTTTCCGCCAGGAAGTTAAAAAAAAACACGCTATGGTACGTATCTCGCAATTGCGACTTAAAAACTCAGAATTATGACTTAAAAACTCAGAATTTGTGCATAAATGTATGCATAAAAGGATTTTTTATATTTGATGAAAGACTGAGATGCTTTATCTGGTGTAGAGAAATGGTTCTCATAGTTGTGAATCCTTATTAGAGAGATGGTGGAGCGGTGGCACTGTGGCTAAGGATCTCTGCCTGTGGAAGGTTGTTGGTTCAAATCCTGTGGCTGACAGATGATTCCTACTCTGTTGGCCCCCTGAGCAAGCTGGGGTATGCGAAAAGACAAATTCCTAATTCAAGAAATTGCATATGGCTAATAAAGTGATCTTATCTTATCTTATTACAGTATATGAAGGGTCTTTTGTTGCATTATTTTCCTATGCTACTATGTCACTTTTGGTTACTGTAAAGTTGGTCCATGAAGGTTTGAAGGAGCAAGTGAGACTATCTTTGGGTACTCTCTAGGTTAAGAGACTCACTGTCTTTATAAATAATTTTTAAATACTAGTTTATGTGTTAATTTATAAGTATGCTTTGTAAGTATTCTTTTTTCTTTTAACTTTGTGCCTCTCAGTATATCAGCGAAACAAAAAAAAGTTATGTGACTCACTTGGTCATTTTTTTTCTGACAATGGGAGGGTTGTCCGATATGTATCAGAGGAATATTTTTACCGTTACATTTATTCAACTATGCCTTTATTTTGTAATACAAATTATTACATCTAATGAATGAAACCATAAAACCACATTGCTATAACGACAGAATTATCGTAGAATTAAGGTATCAAACAGAAGGGTCTGAGTAACAGAAAGAAAAAGCTCCCTCTGGACACATGCAGGATGGAAGCCTATCCATATTTTTCCCCTTGGCTGTGGTGACTCTGAGAGAGAAAAAGAATGTTGTAGAATGTTAAAAACTAGAACATAGAATGCATCTATAAATGACCCCCATTAGATAAATTAAATCACCGGTGGATCACTTTTTTTGTGACTGCTTCATTCCATAACATGCATACCAAGAAGGGATTGTGAACTGAGAGGATGCTACAAAAGTCAGGCTCACCCACTCAAAGAACACACACAGAGCTAGACCATATTGGCAGCTATGTACGATTGTTGTATAACTATATAAAAAGTCCAGTCTTCGGGCTCCATGATTGTTACATCATGAGAGATCACCTGTGAGGATGATGATTTGTTGTTTGTCTGTCCCTCATGATTGCAAATACTGTAGTTGTCTTCTATGAGCCCAAAGGTGACTGATCAGACCAATAAGTAATCAACACAATCTTTGGCAGGTTGAGCAGGTAATTCTCAGGACCACAATATACAGACTTGGTGAGCTATCTTAAAGGTTCCCACATTGCTTTCTCATATTGACACCTTGGAATCACAAAGTGGTGGAATTTTTAGTCAGTACTTTTCCATTTGTTTTTTTTATTCAAGGGCTATAATCTTCAATGAGTTGATTTTGATGGTGCACATCTTCATGTTTGCCTTTCTCATACAGTATCTTTGAAACCCCCTTTTCTGTGTTCCTCTGGTGTGTGTGCCTTGTAAAGTATAAGCCAGGATAAAAGACCCTTCTTTTCAACCTGGATTCTGACATCCACACAGTATGACCAGCCCTGTGGAACATATTATAGATGATCATGGAATGCTCCAGCTTTGGAGAGAACACTTACAGGGGCGGAGCGGTGGCTCTGTGGCTGGAAGGTTGCCGGTTCAAATTCTGCAGTCGGCAGAGGAATCCTACTCCATTGGGCTCCTGAGCAAGGCCCTTAACCCCAACTGCTCCAGGGGTGCCGTACAATGGCAGACCCTGTGCTCTGATCCCAGGCTCTATCCCTGTCTGTGTTTCTCATGGAGAGCATGGGGTATGTGAAAAGATAATTCCTAATGCAAGAAATACCAACTGTATGTATCAATCCCCTACAGTAAGGTAGGAATGATGATTGCACAATAGACCATCAATCTGGTTGCACTTTTGATTTTGTGATTCTGAAACTCTTGCTTTTTCAAGTGACCAATATCTGCATATGTAGATCTCAGGTGATGCTGGATGTTTTCAAGTATATCAGCCTTCTGTGAAATTTAACTTACAAGATATAGGAAGTGCACTCTTCAGACACTCAAGATCTCCAATTTGCTGACATCTGGGTGTACTATCAAGGCACATACAGAAGCGTTATAAACATACTGAGGTAATTTTAATTTTGGAGCAGAGTTGATAGAGATTAAAAATTTTACTCTCCATTTGGTAATTCAGCTCCTCCAGGAAACATATGTGTGAACCAGTGGAGCATGACACTCAGAAATATTGAAAATAGAATTGTGGCAATGACTCTTGTTTTACTCCTATATGAACTTTAAATGATTCCATTACTGCAGATTACTGCATGACTCATCTTGTTTGTCCATTATGCTGAACATGGCTATTTCCTGTTGCTGGACATTGAATGTAATCTGGACCTCTTTAAGGAGCAGAAATGTACAGTATATAGTTGGCAAGTTTAACTGCAATTAAAAAAAGGTTTTGACACTGTGTTTGAAAAGTATACATTCCCTTTGCTAAGATCACTGGAAGTGGTTGTGATATTTTTTAGATTGAGCTTTTGATGTTTAAGATCCATATTGCCAGTGGGGGGACTGTGGAGGCTTGGAATGCTGCTACTGACACAGGGGCTTCCATCATAGCTGTTTGTCCATATTTTTGGAGTCCTTAGCTAGAAACATGAAGGTGAGTAAGATTGATCGGAATGGGTGACATTGAGTTTTGTGGGGGTTTTGTGGAACAAATGGACACCCGAACAATAGATAATAATATTTTATATATGCTCTCAAAGTTTATATGTTTATCCTTCTCATAATAAATACATTTAATTTCAAAGCAGGTCACTCTTTTAACGTCACCTCTGCTAATAACTGCTGGGGTATCTATTATCTCTTCACAATTATTAATTCAAATAAGGTTAAAAGTTAACAATATCAAATAATAATTTGCTTTGCTTCAGATTCGTATTTAACTTTTAAATTACTAATAGAAAATTATTTAAACTGAGATATTTATCTCACTATTCTCTTTAATATTAGTAAAATAATAGATTGTATTAGTTTTACATTCTAGTTTACATCCAAGGCTAGTATTAAACTCCTTTTTTAGTTATTTTAAAATTTTGCATGAAGGAAGTTCAAAGGGAAACACACCATTGCTGTTTTCAGTTTAAAAATCTTGATCCTTCCCAGGTATTGGAAAATGATAGTCACACCAGTATCTGTCTATACAATATAAAAGTATAGCCGCCTTTAAATTTGGATTTAGAGTAAAAAAACTATTTGGGACCAACTTTGTTTATCATAACCCTATACCAAAGCCTTTCACAAATCAGATAAATTAGGTAAAAGTATTATACAATATTTTAAAAGTAAATAATCTGGCTTTGGCGTTTTTGTTAGAATAATGCCATTGCAAGGGCTTTTTTGTCACTTTAGTTCAATGTAATGCTACAGTAGGTACTAAAACGATCAGCCCAATGTTCTTACGCTTCAATCAATTGCATAATTTGTGTATAGATACAGTATATATAGATTTTTTGTCATTATGTTCCTTTGTTCAGTGTTCAATAATTCATTAAGCTTTCAAAGGTAGAAATTCACAATATTGTGTGGTGCATGACCCCAGACAAAATATGTATTTTACCTGGTCACTTTTTTAAATCTGCTGCTATATGTTTATAATTAAAAGGCATATTTAATTTATTTTCTTTAACATAAATCATGCTGTATGTTTGAATATTATTTTTAAAAATACTTTGTTCTTATTATTTGCTAATGTAAATCCCTCTGCAAATAAGTTCTTGTTGCTTCCTATTACATATAAAATTCTCATTCACTTTTTATGTAAGAAAAAAGTGTCTAAATCCATGACTTTGATAAGAATATAAAGTATTCTCCAACAATTTTATCTAGGCACAGAATGCTAGCAGTAGAATTCTTGTGATTTGTCCTTGATTGCAGAATAAAAGGAGACAGGGAGACTGTACTCTCATTTCCAGAAAATTGAGAGGTCAGGCTTGAATATATACATTTTGAATTAGAC